TCAGCGACCGCAGCGACAAGAGCGTCAAGACACGAGACCGGAAAAGACGGGTCGGTAACGAGAGAGGCGAGGACACGAGGAACAAGGGGACGAGCGGCACGAAGGTAGTCGGACAGAGGAGGAGGTGCAACGGTAAGAGAGGACGGAGGAGGCGACGGTAGAAGGGGAGGACGAGACGCGTGAGAACGGAGCAACATAGGATGAGAGCGCGGGACAGGGGAGACAGGACGAGCGCGGGAAGGACGGCGGGACCAGACGTGAGACGGAGGCGTCGAGTCAGGAGACAGAGGAGGGGACACAGGGGGGGAACGAGGGGGAAAACGAGCCGGGGACGAGTCCGGCGGAGGGAACACAGGGCCGTAGACGGGAAGAGGAGGAGACAGCGGAGGAGGAACAAACGCAGGGTCATGGGACGGAAGGCCGAGCAGGCGAAGGGCTGACACCGGCGGGGACTGCTGCTGCGGCGGTACAACGCCAACACCGGGACCGCAAGCTGCTCCTCGGCAACCACCGGCACACTCCACGCCCGCACCCCCAGAGGGAACATCCCCAGGGCCCGAAACCCCCCAAGGACCGGTACCACAACAGGGCTACCGGGACGAGCACCCACTCCAACGCCAGTACCCCCAGGGGCAACGAACGGGCGTCACGAGAGTGAAAGAAGCGGTGAGACGGCGGGTGGTAAAAGTGCCAGTCGGACGCGTCAAGGGGAAAACCGAGGAAGACGCAGGGAAGGGTGCGGGCAGTGAGCTTGTCCGTGCCGGAGGCACGGACGTGAGCAAGGCAGCCCCAGATGTGGAATGCAGACGCGTCACCAGGAGATCCAGTCCAAAGACGGGTCGGCGAAACCTGCGGCTGCTGGGGGTGCGGCCACAGGATAAGCTGGTGAGAAGCGTAGCGCACAGCGAACGGCCACAGAAAATGGGGTGCACCGGCATGGATCATGGAGGTGTGAGCCACCTCCATGACCAAACCGATGCGTCGCTCAGCGACCCCATTCTGTTGTGGGGAGTCCGGGAGAGTGAACGTCTGGGTGATGCCCTCCGCATGACAAAAGCGACCAAGGACACCTGAGGCAGAGGCGCCACCACGGTCGGAGTGAAGACGCAAGACAGGGAGACCTCGGTGGACACGGGCAGAGACAAGCCAGGGGATGAGAGCGTCAGGCACGTCGGCCTTCCGCTCCAGGGGAAAGACCGAGGTGTAGCGAGTGAAGTCGTCGACAAGCACAAGGAAGTAGTGCTCTCGACGCGGCTCATGGACGGGGGCGGGGCCCCAGACGTCCATGTGCAGGGTCTGCAGCGGCGCGGCGGTAGGGGGAAACGAGGAGGAGTGAGGTGCACGGCGAAGCCGACCCTCGACGCAAGGCGTGCAAGGTGGGGCTGGGGAGGAGGGAAAAGCGGGGAGTGAACCAGGGAGACCAAGGATGAGACCGTGCTGGGACATGTGACGCAAACGCGGGAGCGCAGGGTGACCTAGGCGGTGGTGCCAAAGGAGAGTCGGGTGAGTGAGGGACCGACAGGAGCAGGCAGCAGCAACCTGGGTAGACGCAGCCACTGGAGGGGGCGCCCCAGCCGGGGGGGTCACGGTGTCCAGAGTAAACAGGCCGGACACTGGGTCCCGGGGGAACGTGGACAAGGGGGCACCGGTGGCGGCCTCGGTACAGACAGCATACCGCTCGTGACCAGGGAACGTAGTGGTGACGCCAAGGTCCTGGAGGCAGCCGACACCAACTAGGTTCCTGGAGAACGAGGGGATATGCAGACCTGTAAGAGAGCCTGAAGGAACCGCCGGACAAGGAAGGTTGGTGGAACTGCGGGCGACTACCGGACCTCCGGAGGGGTCAGCAAGAGAAACGGCAGCAGGAACAGGAAGCGGGGTCAGTGTAGTAGAGTCGCGGAAGAAGCACCGGGAAGCGCCAGAGTCCAAGGTGAAGGAAAGCGAAGCAGTGGCGTCCGGCAAAAGGGCGACGGCGGAAGCACCAAGGCTACACAAAGTAGGGGATCCTACGCCTGACGCAGCAGGGGAAGCGAAGCGAGGCACACCTACACTAGACGACAGTGAGTAATAAGCGGGAAGCGCACTAGAGTCATCAGCATACATCACATGCAGAGCAGAAACAATGGCATCCATGTCCATGTCAAAAATCTGAATACTACGCCTAAGCAAACTGTGCCAGTCCGGAAGGTCGGGCGACGGGCCGAAACGCTGACGAAACAGGTCGTCCAGGCGACGAAAATAGCGAGGAGTGGTATGACCGAGCTTACCGCAAACGAAGCCGCGACGAGGACCGGTCTGGATCTGGTACTGACAACGCACGCCTCCCGAACCACCACTCGGCACCCCACCACGCGCCCGACCACCGCCAGCGCCAGGCCATCCGGGCGGGAGGACACTCGCCTGCCTCGTCTGCGGCGGCTGCTGCGGCTGCTGCGACTGCTGTGGCTGCTGCTGCTGCTGCTGCGACTGCGGTGGCAGCGGCTCAGCTGGATTGGGCAAGGTCCCCTCGTCCGCTCCAGCACCAGACGACCCGACTCCACCACCACCCCCTCCTGCACCCCAGCCTTGGGGCGGCGGCCCTTCCCCGAACGAAACTGCGCAGCAGCAGCAGTCTCAGCCACTGCGACAGAGCCGTCGGAGAAGGTACACTGGGCGGGGGCACAACCCTGAAAGATAGGGACAGGCACGACACCGCTCGCCTGGGCGATGGAGCGGTGACGGGTCTCTATCACAGTCAGGGTGTCTACAAAGTCAGTGAGGGTGAGGTCGGCGGGGTGAAGGCTAAGGAATCGGTCGCGGGCGACAGCAAGGCGGTCAGGGAGGCGGGTGGCAAGCAGGTAGAGGGTAGAGGTAATGGGCGGCTGGTGGGCTCTAAGCTGTGCGTCAGTGCAGGCGGCGCGCCAGGTCTCCTCTATCGAGCGCAGGTGGGCAGCGAGGTCAGAGACAGTGGGGAAAGAGGCAAGGTCAGGAAAGAGCATCGGGAGGATCAGGCGACCCACCGAGGCAGCCGGAGGGGTGGAATAGCGCTTGATGACAGCATCTAAGTATGCCTGAGCAGTAGTGAGGGACCTAAAGCGAGGACGCTCGGACGGGGGGAGGGCGTTGCTAATGGCAAGCTGGGCGACAGCATCGCGGGAAAGCCAGACAGAGCGCGCACGGGTAGTGGCAGCAGTAGACTCACGCTCAGTGGGTGTGGGGTCAGCGGGCAGAATAGCAGGGGGGTCTGGGCAGGGGAGCGTACCGTCAAGATGTGCAGAAAGCGGGTCACCATCCTGCCGCTGGCCAGTGAGTTGGCGGCGGAGGTCGGCAAGCCACGCCTCGAACTCTAGGGGCTGACCTTCAGCGTCGAAGCGAAGCTCCGCCGCCATCAGGAACAGTCCAGTGCGGTGCAGGGCAGTGCAGCTAGGTGGAGTGCGGTGCAGTGCGGTACAGTGCGGTGCAGTGCAGTGCAGTGCGATGCAGTGCGGTACAGTGCGGTGCAGTGCGGTCCTGGCAGTACAGTGTGATGCGAGGCGGCACGGAGCAGGGCAGGGTGGGGGGGAACCGTACCAGTGAGGAGGACGGGGCCGGGGCTGGCCCGACGGGGCCGGGCAGGCGCGACGGGGCCGGGCTGGTGCGACAGGGCCGGGACGGGGCGACGGGGCCGAGCGGGCGCGACGGGGCCGGGCGAGTGCGGCAGGGCCGGGCCGGTGCGACGGGGCCGGGCGAGCGGGACGGCGGCCGGGCGGGTGCGACGGGGCCGGGCAGGGTGCGACGGGGCCGGGCGGGTGCGACGGGGCCGGGCGGCTGTGACGGGGCCGGGCAGGGTGCGACGGGGCCGGGCGGGTGCGACGGGGCCGGGCGGCTGCGACGGTGCCGGGCAGGGCGCGACGGGGCCAGGCGGCTGCGACGGGGCCGGGCGGGCGCGACTGGGCCGGGCGGGTGCGACGGCGCCGGGCGGGCGCGACGGGGCCGGGCGACGGCGACGGGGCCGGGCGGCGGCGACGGGGTCGGGCAGGGGCGACGGGACCGGGGGGGTGTACTACGCGGCCCAGGAGGGGCGCTACAGGGCCCAGGAGGGGCACGACGGGGGCCCAGGAGAGGCGCTACAGGGGCCCAGGAGGGGCGCGACGGGGCCCAGTAGGGGCGCTACGGAGCCCAGGAGGGGCGCGACAGGGCCTGGGAGGAGCGCGACGAGGCCCAGGAGGGGCGCTACGGGGCCTGGGAGGAGCGCGACGGGGCCCAGGAGGGGCGCTAGGGGGCCTGGGAGGGGCGCGACGGGGCCTGGGAGGGGCGCTACAGGGCCCAGGGAGGGCGCGACGGGGCCCAGGAGGGGCGCTACGGGGCCCAGGAGGGGCGCGACGGGGCCCAGTAGGGGCGCTACGGAGCCCAGGAGGGGCGCGACAGGGCCTGGGAGGAGCGCGACGAGGCCCAGGAGGGGCGCTACGGGGCCCAGGAGGGGCGCTACGGGGCCTGGGAGGAGCGCGACGGGGCCCAGGAGGGGCGCTAGGGGGCCTGGGAGGGGCGCGACGGGGCCTAGGAGGGGCGCGACGGGGCCTGGGAGGGGTGCGACGGGGCCCATGAGGGGCGCTACGAAGCCCAGGAGGGGCGCGACGAGGCCCAGGAGGGGCGCTACGGAGCCCTAGGAGGGGCGCGACGGGGCCTGGGAGGAGCGTGACGGGGCCCAGGAGGGGCGCTAGGGGGCCTGAGAGGAGCGCGACAGGGCCCAATGAGGGGCGCGACGAGGCTAGGGGGGGTCGCGACTGGGTGAGCGGAAGTGGTAGGTGGGGGGGATCCTACCTACGCGTGATACCATATCAAATTGAAAATTGAATGTATGATAGAGTGAGAGTACACAAAGATATACCTAAGTGTTGTACTCTCTAAGAGGCGACCCTATACAGTCTATACAAACATGACAAATACACATGTTTGACAGGCCATACCAAGAGATGGCAGGCAAGTCTGATGAATCAGACAAGTCCAAAACCAATTTGGGGGCCTGCTAAGCTAACAATTACATAACACAATATATAATTTTAACACGCTGCCCCAGAAGAAATGAAGCACGCTGCCTTTACAAGAGGACCTAAGCAAGCTTTCACAATACCGGTACTAATATTGCAGTTCAAGAAGGTGCTAGAGCTAGTCCTGACTTTTATACAGGGAAACAATCTAAATGCCAGAAGAAACGGGAAAGAGGATTGCCAACAGACCTGTGTCCATGCTGATGGATGAATGCACCCTTCAAAATATTACTCGGTCCCATGCATTTATCATGAAACTTCTTGGAATGGTAGGTAGGTGTAACTGCCTCAGCAAGATGGAGGATAGTACAGGCGCCCTGCACTTCCTACAAGGTATCTAGGTATAGCACTGCATCGGCCATGCTGTGCTCACTGCGAATCCCCAATGGAGACAAGCTCCACTTCAAATTCGATTGTTTGCTCGGCCAGAGGAGGGTTTGCATCAATCACAACATAATCGTCACCAGCCTGCAGTGGGTTCAAGATATGCCCAAAATCATTCCACAAAGAAAGCAGTGAAGCAATAAAGCAATGAATAAGACGGAATGGCTGGTATTTGGAAACTTTGGACTGGTGATTGTTACTAACCTCTAGAATCTCGGCCGGTCCGCCATTGGCCAGCACAACAACAGCTCCCGGTTTGAGCTCCCCTCCCTGCTCTTGAGTGAGTCTCTGGATCTCCTCATGGTCCTTGGGCACTCGGAAGATCATGTCATCCGTCTTTGCCATCGGTGCTGACTGTATTGTGCGGCTTTGGCCAACTGTCAGACCCTTCACCGCCTCATCAAAACCCTGATGCCATGTCAACAGGAAAGTCAATTCAAGGTACACTTCAACATGGGAGCCAAGTGATGGAGCATGAGCTGAAAGCTAAGCGGAAGTCACCTTGAAAAGAGGATTTCCAACAAAGTTTCCAGCACCAACTTCAAATGTCAACACCTCATCATCGCCAGACGCATGAAGCACCTGCATGCATTGCAAACTCATGGTAAGTCTCTTGTGAAAGAGATGGAGATAGTGGCGTGGCATGAGGGAAAAAGGAACGAGCTTCAGCACGAACCTCACCATCCAGGGTCTTGCATACGAACTTCACATTCACCATGTCTCCCTCTCTTGCTACCACTTTGTCTGACAAAGATGCCACGCGAGGGGGAAAAGGGATTGCCAGTGCACACATCATTAGCGACTACAGCCACGATAGCCAATATTTTCCTCTCAACAGTTATCCCTCCCTTCCCAGCGCGCAGCGCGCTCTCATCATTCCAAGCCTGTAACACTTGGGATGCGGGGATGCTGATTGGTGAACGAGTTTCGAAATTGGAAATATCGCCTGTGGGGAAACCGGTAGCTCTGAACCAGGCGTTTTACACTTGTTGCTCCATAATGAAATATGGGACGCGGGCTTTAACTGTGAAATCTGATTGAGTTATCCGAACCAACGTCTCTGAGTCACCCTGACTGGAAAACCAGCACGGTTTGGATTCAGGCATTTCGTTCGAGTTTTACTCACCGCTTCCGTCGCAAAAAGACGCACGCGCGCCAGTGCTTCTCCTCGGCACGGTTCTGACAGATCGAGACGGAGCCTGAAGTCGTGTTGTGTGTGTGCCATGCCTGGAAATGCAACTGCTGGACTTAATGCATTGAAAGCTTATCCTAGAAGCTGCTAAAAAAATCATGGAAGGTCGGAATAGTAAGGTCGCCATGATGACGAGCACAACCTAGAAGAGCTGTTTTAGTTTAGAGTCCTCTTCTCAGAACAAGTATCTCCAGCAATGCCACCAACGAAGTCAACTGTTGGATTTAGCAATGATCGTCTATCCTCATCCGACAATGGCATTCAACTGCTGCTAGAAATTTTTGCAGTGGTGACATGCTCCTGAACCTGATCATTCCAGGAGGAGCGAATTTTGTCAAGTACAGACAGGTGAGTGTACCGCACGGGTGGCGCTGTTGCGAGCTGATGAAGTGAATCGGCCAGGTGTAACGAACGGCGGGATTCTTCCCCACCTGGAATATCGTACGGTGTAACATCCATCTTACGGCGCCTTGAAATCACGTGGCGTAAGCTGAGAGCCCTGCTTTCTCTGGTCTGGTGATGTTTGCCACGCAGACACTCGCGATCGAAGTTACCACCTTCGTACAAGTGAATTCTGCTCGCCAGCTATGCAGCAAACACAGATCCACCTCGCACAAGGTTTCGGGACGTCACAGAACCGAGAGAGAGTTTTATCCAACCGTCATAGAAACTACCGCACTGTACCTTCTTTTTTGACGTCCTGGGACGTCACAAATTCTTTTACTTCGGACACCCCCTTATTTTCCAGCCCCATCGCAAGGGAACATCAGGGAGTAGAGCAGCCATTATCAAACGGCTATTTCATAGCTCCCACTTTCACTGATTGTGCCTGCCGAGGATAGAGAGCAACAGCAACACTAGTGTCCAATTTTCTCGGTGACTTCTCGCGCTTGTCTCTGTAATTGCTGCTGTCGGGCCTATTTTCTCGGTCCTATTTTACATCGAGCTCGGATTCTCGCTCGATCATCCACTCGATGGCGCAGGCCATAGTCAATGCCACTTCTTTTTCAGCTGCTCCTTTCGCGCCGGTAGCCCGCAATGGTGCCGTGCGGCTGAGCAGCCACGCCAGTTTCAGCCAAATTCCAACCAGGCGCCTTCTTTTATTGCGTACGGCCATTAGATGCAGCCGGAGAACCAATCAGCGCATTTCAGTATCGTCAGCATCCTCCAACCCTGCTGACGTCACCGGTCGGTCCGGTGGTGATCAGGCGAGCAGCGAACCTACTCCCGCGTCCTCACCTACCGACGAAAACGAGCCTTCTCCAGCGGTTTCTCCGTCGTCGTCGTCAGCTCCGTCAGCTCCGCCGTCAGCTCCGTCAGTTCCGTCAATTCCGCCATCCAAGCCCTCGTCGCTCCTCGGCCTGGTGCTCTCCGCGGGTCCCCCGGGGTCGTGGGACAGCAGCGGCGTGGGGAAGGCCGTGGTGCGTCGCTTCGCGAGCGACAACGAGGAGCGCTGGTTCATGTGGTACGAGGGCTGGACGGACGACACGTCAGCAGATCCGACGGATGGCAGTGATCCGAGCGGCGATCCGACGGTTCCGCTTCTTTCCCGCGCGCGGACCGGGGTGGCGGTTTCCGCCAACGGGCTTCACTGGAGTCGCGGAAGCGGCGTGGCGGAAACTGACGCCAAGGGACGTGGCGGCCCAGGAATGGTCCTACAGCCCAGCACCAACTGGTGGAACTTTGACACGCGCCACGTCAGCGTGTCTGACGTCATGATGATGTCATCGCAGAAAGTCCGCGCGAGCGGCGGCGTTCTCTGGATGTTCTACGTAGGGGGGAACGCGGAAGAGCTCCCCATCCCCGCGCGGGTCCTCCCCCTGCTCCCCCCGCACCTCGCACCATCCACCCCCGGATCACCGTCCCCAGCACGTGATTTTACCGAGGGGGAGGTAGTAGAGGGTCTAAGGACGCGCATAGGCCTCGCAATGAGCCACGACGGGCGGAACTGGGCGCGGATAGAGGGGGACCACCACAGCGGCGCGGTGATGGACGTCGGCGCTGCAGGCGAGTGGGACGAGTTATTCCATGGCGGCCCGCAGATAGTGTTTCACGAGGCCGGGGACATCAGGCTGTTCTACCACTCCCTAGATAGGTCAGGTAAGGGTGGTGATAAGGAGACCGGAGGGAAGTTCCGGGTCGGGTTTGCCCGGTCCCGGGACGGGCTGAAATGGGTGAAGTTTGGGCCGGTTTTCTCCGGGAGCAATGGGAAGTACGCGTTTGATGCACTGGGGGTGACCTCCCGGTATGTCCTGCGCGACCCACGGGTGTCAGCACAGCAAGCCAGGGCAGGCGGAGCAAGCGCAGTAGGCGGAGCAGGGAAGGAAGATACGCGCAAGTATGTGATGCTGTATGAAGGCGTGGCAGCGGATGGGTCGACCAGCATTGGGCTGGCCGAGTCCAATGATGGCATGAGCGGGTGGACGTGCCTGGGGCCCGTGTTTGAGCCAGCCCGAGGAGCCCAGGGGAAGGCAGAAGGGGAGGGGGATGGGAGCGGAGAGGAAAAGGGAGCCGGAGAAGCAGGTGCATGGGACTCGTGGTCAGTGGGGTCGCCCTGTTTGGTGGATCTGGGGGGTGGCCATCTGCGTCTGTACTATGTGGGGTCGGATGGAAGGGGGTTCCAGGGAGTGGGGGCGGCTGAGTCTCTGGATGGGAGCTTTCAGTTTGAGAGGTGTGCAAATCTGGAGTCTCTTTTGTAGGGTGAAGGAGACAGGCCTTGGGTTGGGTGGGACTGCAAGGAGACACGTTGAGAAGTTAGTGTGCTGACTTACGCCTTGAAGACTGTAGCACAGTTATGTATTTACAGGTCATGGTACTGTCTCGACATGCGATTCCATTTAAGAAATGCGATGCACTCTTCGTTTTTTTCAATGCTTGCCTGAAGCGGCTCTTGCAGAAGTGGCTTTTCTGAATTTTATTCTGCTCATTACCAGGGAGGTGTTGACTATCTAACTCCATCTCTACAGTGTACTGGGAAATTGAGGAATAACAGCTAATGTTCACATCTAAAGATGCTTACAAACCACCAAGCGTACATTGGAAAATACCAAAAACAATTCAAATTTTCACAAAACCGAGCCACAAGACAGCTCAAAATGCCTAGATAATGGTGCCAGGAGGAATAACAGCATCCTTGATAACCGTAACGATGCCGCTCTTGATGAAGTAACCATCGGTCTCCCGGGCCGCCTCCTCCACCTGATCCTTGTTGATAATCTGCACGTTGTCTCCGATGCGCGCGTTCTTGTCGATGATCGCCTTGTGGATAACAACATTCTTCCCAATGCCGATTGGCACGCCGCCACTCGCCACAAGCGCGTCCTGTTGCTCCTCCGTCTGATTGGTGGCAGGAGACGAGAGGATGGAGGGAGGCATGGAGGGAGGCACGAGGCAGGTGCAGGAGGGGGGAAGGGGGAGAGGAGGGAGGGGTTGAGGGACAGGTCGAGTGGATAGCAAGGTTAGGGGTGGTTGGATTGCGCTGGTACCCTGTGGTCGATGGTTGGGTATGCTCAGCTCCTAGTAATGAGCACCCATCACAAGGGGGCCCTTGACAACAGACCCCATACCAATCAGCAATTGCCCATTGACATCAGGGTATCCACTACATCAGAGACAGCACACTACTCACCTCGCAATCATCGGATCCATACCACTCAGCTCGTAGTAATCAGACCTGCACTCAGCACCACATCCACTTCGTAGTACACTGCACCCACCTCATAGTAATCGGCGCCCATGATGAGTGTCCTTGATGATGGACCCAGCACCGATCTAGTTGAATCACCACTGCACCACACTTGCTTCACAGCACTCCGTACCCACCTCGTAGTAATCAGCGCCCATGATGAGCGTGTCCTTGATGATGGACCCCGCACCGATCTTGGCGCGCAGGCCAACCACCGAGTGATGTAGTTGGGAGTCCTGCCAAACACGAAGCATGCAGCAGAGGGGATAATGGGGAGGGAAGAGGGAAAGGGAGAGAAGGGGAGAGAGTAAGGCGAATGGAAGGAGGGAGGTTGTGCGGAATGAGTGGCTCAGCAGGAAAAGCATATCAACGCTCCATGAAACGGCTGGTGGATGCTACTTCTGTCACCATTGCAACGCACGCACGCACTACCCGTCAATGCATTCACATTTCCAGTCAGAATTGATAGGCTCACCTCAATGATGCACCCCTCACCGATGACACTCTCTGAGATGTCCAGGCTCGGCAGCTTGGAGGGCCTTTTGATCCACCCAATAACCCTGCCTCAAACCTCATTCATGCACCTCTCAACTCACCTCAATGATGCACCTGTCCCCGATGACACTCTCTGAGATATCCACCTTAGTAACCCATTTATGAGTAAACCCTCTTTGTACATCGTGCAGTGCAGCCCTCACCTCAATGATGCACCCCTCGCCGATGACACTCTCCGAGATATCGACGCTCTGCAGCTTGGAGGGCGGCAGGTAGCGCGCCTGGGTGTAGATGGGTGCAGAGCGGTCGTAGAAGCTGAAGGGCGAGTCGGGCTGCGTGGTGCTCAGGTTGGCATTGTAGAACGCCTCGATGGTTCCGATGTCTTCCCAGTAGCCGTCGTACAGGAAGGCTTGCACCTGGTAGTAGTGGCGAGACATGACAGTAAAGGGGATGAGGAAAGAGAGAGGGATGAGTGAGAGTGATGCTCACTGCTCAGGTTGGCATTGTAGAAGGCCTTGATGGTTCTGATATCCTCCCAGTGTCCGCCATACAGGAAGGCTTGCACCTGGTGGTGATGGGGGTGGCACATGGTTACAAGGGGGATGGGAGACCGGAAAGGGATGAGTGGAACTGGTGCTCAGGTTGGCGTGGTGGAATTCTCGAGTGGCCCTGATGTCCTCCTCCCTGTAGCCGTCATAGAGGAAGGCTTGCACCTGGTGAGGTTGGGATACTAGAGCAGAACAACGACGATTGAAGGATGGTGCACCATTTACGGGGAAGGACGATGCTGGTGAGCAGGTTGGACGAGCAGGTGAGAAGGGCCGGGATGGAAGGGATTAGGAGGGATTAGGAGGGATGAGAAGGGATTAGGAGGGATTAGGAGGGATGAGAAGGGATTAGGAGGGATTAGGAGGGATGAGAAGGGATTAGGAGGGATTAGGAGGGATGAGAAGGGATGACGGCAAGTAGTAAATCTCTCCTGTGCTCGCCGCTTTATCTGCTCCTGTCAGTAACCTTCTATCTCGCCTTGGCGCCCTTGGCACACGCCCCAGGGATGCCTTCAGACCCAAAGTCATTGGCGTCAGGGAAGTCCTCGGATCACGGCGTCCTTGCGTCTTGCTGCCCTCACCTCACCGCCCCTCCACCTCTCACCTTGGCACCCTTGGCGCACGCCCCAGGAATGACTTCCGAGCCGAAGTCGTTGGCATCAGGGAAGTCCTCGGCGAGCATGCGGATCATGGCGTCCTTGCTGATGACGTAGATGCCCATCGACGCGATGTACGGCAGCTCCTTGGCGCGCTCCGCGTCGAGGCCCAGCACGGTGGTGTCCACCTGGTGGTTGAAGGGGAACGGGAGGGGCGAATGGGGGAGATAGACGGGACAACGAGGGCAGCGCTGATGACGTAGATGCCCTGCCCATGGACGCCGTGTACGGCAGCTCGCGCGCTCTGCGTCGAGGCCCAGCACGGTGGTACCGACCTGGTCGCTGGGCGCAATGTTGGGGGCGGGGGGGGGGGGGGGGAAGAAGAATGGATGGGGACGTTGGGAACTTGGTTAGACGAAACGGACTGCACTAATAGTATCTCTCACTTCAATCTCGCACTACCTGGCACTATCCAAACCGCCAGGCCACCGCACATTGAAGTGCCAGCGGGCAATTACTTGATCCAACACCGCAGTCTCGCCAGCCAACCACTGACCTGCATGGCCTTGAGCTCCTCGCCCTTGGGCTTCTCAGCGAACTCGATGATCCTTCCAGTATCATCGATCTTCATGAGCCCGAACGCAGTGGCGCGCTTCTCGTCCATGGGCAGCGCGGCGATGGTGATGTCGGCGTCGTTCTCGCGGTGGCACTTGATGAAGCGCTGGTAGTCCATGCGGTACAGGTGGTCGCCCGCCAGGATGAGAAACTCCTGCACGTTCTGCTCCTCCAGCTGCCACAGGTACTGCCGCACGGCGTCCGCCGTTCCCTGCACGGGTGGGACGAGAAGGATTGATTGGACACAAGCAGGAGAGTGGAGCGAATGGTCCTGCACTTGCTTCCGCTTCGGTGCCATAATGTCATCAGTGGCCAAAATTTCGTCGTCAAGTCCCTCGACTCATTTGCACTTCCCTCATTCTGCAAGCTCTTTAATCGACTCAAAAGTTAGCTCTGCGGCGGTTTTGTCTTTTCAGAAACGCCGCGTGGCCCCCAGCACACGACGTGTAGTGACTCGAAGACACGTGAAGCCGTTAGACTGGCCTGAAAGCAACGCCACAGCTGCTGCCTTATCCAGTAGCAACTCCCGCTCCTACCAACGCCAGAAGTTTTTAGCCCCCTCAACTACAGGACCAACCGTTGTCCGCGGTTGGAACCTTTCAACAAACCGGCCTTTCTTGACGCAGACCGGTCAGGGTAAATGAAATTCCCATACATGACGTCATCAGGGCTGGTAGCTTATCGCACATGACCCAGCAAATCTGGGACTATGGCCGACTCTCTATGTACACCATGTGAACCGGGCCGAAATCCGAATCGCATATAAAGCCTCATCGGCAATCAATGGGGAGGCCAGCCACACGGAAGCAAGCAAAGGAATCCGCTAAAAGCTTACCTGGAACCAGTTGGGGTTCTCGGGGCTCTGCTGCGCGGCGAGAACCTCAACGAAACCCTGCGTCTTGTAACCACCCATGTTGCTCGTGTACGCGCGCGACAGATGCCTGTTGAGCGACGCCGAGTTGAACTGCGTCATCACGTAGATCTTCACGATGTTGCTGTTGATGCAGTTGCTAACGGGGATGTCGATCAGGCGGTAGTTGGCGCCCAGAGGCACGGCGGGCTTGGCGCGCTTCTTGGTGAGCGGGTAGAGACGAGTGCCGGCACCACCGCCGAGAATAATTCCAAGAACGCTCTGAAATGCGACGGGAGATAACAGGGGGATAGCAGGAGATAACAGCAGATCACAGGGAGATAAGAGGGAGATAACAGGAGATAACAACGGAGGGAGCAGACCATATAGATTTGACTGATTTTCTGAATTGTTCTGAATCAGCGAGCCGGCAGCAAGAAATGCCGCAACGACAGCGTCGCCAGGAACTTGCGGGAGCGCGAACAGGAGAGCGAACGGGTGAAGGTGACAGACGAATGGGGTGTAGGCATCCATTCCATTAAGGATGCATTAAGGATGCGAGACGTCGACATCCACAGAATGCCGAGGGTTGGTCGTTCCGCGTCGACCGTACGGGTGAAGTTAGCGACACAGCAGCGACGCAGCAGCGACACATGGCGTGCCGTGTCAAGCAGCGACGGCGGTGAAGCTCGGCCATTCTACCTTCTCAACGTGTCGAGCAGGGTTCTCGGTCATTATCCATGTGTCTCCATACTCTAGACGACGGCGACATTGCCCTAATGGCAAAATGATCCACGAGTCTCTTTTTCCGGCCTGACCTGGCTGACGTCAGGGTCCATGCAGACATCCTTGGCGCTGCTGGAGTCAATCACGGCGCGAGGAGCGGCGGGTCTGGCGCTAGCGACAGCCTGCTTGGCGGCGCGAGGCGCCTTGGTGGTCAGGCGAGCTCCCGCGAGGCCAGACGAGGCGAAGCCGACCTTCGCGGCGCCTGCGGACTTGTTCTCGCTGCGCGCGGCGGGCGCAAGCGACGCCTTTGCGGCGGGAACGGCGACGGTCGCCATGGCTAGCTGGCACTGGTGGCAACAGAGACCGGCAGGTGAATCTCGTGAACGAGAAGCGAAGCTCGACTCTGCGTCCAATGCAAATCCTGAGAAATAGGATGCTTTTGAGAGGCAGCCCTAATCGTCTGGTTGTATGGCTGTCAATTTCTGGTTCCTTTTCCAGTTCAGCAGGCAGGCATGGATGGTCAGAAAGAAGCACCTTGGCTGGTTGGGATTGGATTGGACCATCTATGGCCGCCCCTGGCTGGAACAGATTCTCCAAAGCGCGCCGATGGCGCTGGTTGGCGGAAGCCCTGCGGGAGGAATCAGACGGTGGTCGTCGGGTAACTCCCGCGCGGGTGGCGGAGAAGGTTCGGGTGGGCCTGAGCGGAATGGATTGTGCGGGCTGGGGAAACAGGTTGAACTTTGCTTTGACCACGTGGCAAGATATGTGGCAGAGATTTGCCACGCAAGCGCAGTGCTCGATCCATGAGGAGTGGCTTGGACATATCCTCCATTCGCGAAGCGTGGACTCCTGTGCCACGCAGCTCTGAATTGAAGCAGAAGCGAAAGATCGCACGACAGTGTGGGGCTGTGAGGAAACGGGAATGGGGCCAAGCGAAAGATGTGAGCCGTGAATAGCATTCCGCTGATCGGGAATCAAGTAGATTCCAGCACAACATGCCACGGTGGACACAACCCTGTCATTTGGCCGCACAGGTACGCGACCTATGGCTGGTTACTTCATTTGTAACGCTACTTATTTTGGGAAATTGTAGTTCTTAGAGTTCAGTACATTCCATGACTAAAGCATTATAGGTTTAAGCCATGTAATTTGAACGTAAGTTTTTCACGAGAACTAGTGCACGATAAACCAGGAAACTTTGTGTGGCTTTAGACTAGAAGCGAAAGATATACAATCTGGAAGCACACGGCCAGAAACTTGGCATGGAATGGAAGTGCTTAGAGTTTCGATGAGACTGGGTCATCGTGTTGGACGAATTTATCGTTCTCGTACGCAGCCATGGCCTCCTCCCTATTAAGAACACGGCCGTTATCATTCCACATGGACCACACCAGGTGCCACCCTCCCGCATTAGTAGCACTTGGCCGCCATAACTCCACCCTCTTTCCGTGCTCAACCTCGATACCTGGACGTGCGAAGGGGGTGACGCCACCAAGCATGGAAGGAGCTAGGTTAGTACGAAGACACCACACAACTTTAGATCAAGAGTTGACACACAATGTAATAGGCTCATGTCCGTTGACTGGGGAAAACACGCACTCTTCGTACCTTGGGCGTCAGCAATGGTGTAGGTCGATCGCACGAGAGCAGCATACGATTTCGAGTCTGCATTCAGAGACGAGTCCCCTTCTTCTTGCAGAACCTCGACTTCCTCCACCATCACCGACAACGACATGTGTGACGCCTTGAATTCCTGCATGGGAGGATAGGAAAGGCAGTGAGACAAGAGTCATTAAGGAAGGTGCATGTAGAGATTGAGCAGACGGACGAGAACGGGAAAAAAAAAAAAAAAAAAAAAAAAACAACAACAACAACAAAAAACAAAACAATCAAACAAACAAACAAACAAAAAAAAAAAAAAAAAAAACAAACAAACAAAACAAAACCGTTATACCGCTCTCACTGAAAGCAAGCGCGGCGCTAGACCGATTCCGTCTCAGATTCACGACACAAAGGAAGCCCGTAGGTGTCTTACATTAACTAGGTTCGCTTTCTCTTGCTCCGTCGCGAGCACCACGCTGTCAGCGCCAGGAGCCATGAGCGTCACGGCGTCAGGACCGAACAGAATAGACGAGGCCGACGCCACGTCATCAGCCGCAATCGCAGACACGAACGCACTCCACGCCGTCTGAACGTTGAAAAAAACGTCCGACTGCCGCGGCTCTTCCCCTGCACCCAGCGCCTTCACCTCCTCGTTTTCTGCGGAGCTCTCTTCGGAAATCGTTGACTCTGCTGCGGGCTCGGAGCCCGCTTGGGCCTGCTCGTTTTGACTCTGCGCCGCCTTGACTGCGTCCAGGTGCCCGAAGTCGTTACCCATCATCAGAACATCCGGAACGCCGGCCGCCGCTTGTGCTGTCGCTTGTGCCGCCGGCAGCTCTGCCGTATCTTCAGACGAGACGGTGAGATCCGCAGAAATGGTAGCGGTTAACGGAACCCGTTTGGGTTGATCCTTGGCGTCGCGGGTTTGCCACATCAGCCAGCTGACGCCCCACGTTGAGCAGCCTTCGTTAGAATCACCTTCGGACGGTTGGATTTGGTCCCAGAATGTGAGGAACTTTCCCCCGTTGTTGTCACCTCCGGATTCCGAGCCAGTCGCGGACGAATGTACGGAACCAAGGACGACGAGCGCGTGATTCGCGGGCCTGTAGAGGCTGTTAAGGAGGCGATATGATGTAAGGGACTCAACAGCGAACGACGGGCTAGGGATTGACTCGCTAAGGTCCTTTAGGGCGTGTCCCTTATCGCGAGGCGTGAAGGAAATCCGCTCGTCGGCTCCAGGCGCCATGAAGACGCTTCGCGTCGAGAAGACACGGCGGCTGGACGCTCCGAGAAAACTGGAGAGCTCGCTCAGACCTTCGGCGACGCATTTTGCGACATCCCCGCCACGAATGACAGCTGAGCTTGCAGCTTGAGTGCTAGCTTCAGCCGCTGAATCTGATTCGGGCTGAGGCTGCACGGACGGTAGCCGGCGAGCAAAGGCGAATGCGAAGCTGCTCGTGAAAGCGAGCAGCAGCAGCACAGCGGGAAGAGAGTTCGTTGCGGCCGCCATCGCTTCGGAACTGAAACTGCGAGTTCCGAGGGGCACACCGATGAGTTCAACTTCCGAAGTTGAATCAACTTGGGCCTCTCACGCTCGGACCTTCAAGTTGAACACGAGAAATAGAAGTGAATTGCAGCGACGCTTCGATGGCCGTAAAACCAGACGATGGCGCCTGCAGCTGCATGGTCCCACGTTCGGCTACCCCCCCCATCAGCCGGCTGGGTCAGTCGCAACCGGCGAGGCGCAGGAGATTACTGTTCAATATGGTGACGAATGCTTGCACTAGCAGGAGGCACTAGGAACTAGTTTTCTCCACCCCCTCTCCAGAGGAGTCCCCTCCTGTACCTCATCCTTTCGCCGTCCTTGGGTTCAGTGCTGAGGATGTGCCCCAAGTGTACGTTTCATTGAAACTGGGAAAGGTGCTTTCTGAGTCAGAACAGTACGGTAAGCTAATAGAATGGTTTAGTACGGTATTGAGCGATGAACTTAGGCAGCCTCATTTTCCGCCATCCACCACTTCACTGGAGGAGCTTCACCCTCTGCTCATGTGAAACCTGGCCCGCCTGCCGTGCTCCAGAGAAGAAAAAATAGTGTCGTCACTACAGCTCTGCACCCCATCTTTGTTGTTCACCCTGCCAGCAGAGCTGTACATATGTACACTCTATCTGGCTTTGAAAAGCCCCACTTGACCATGCGACGCAATTTGGTTGCGCGAAAAAATAAAACCCGGGGCCAAACCGATTCGAATGTTAAAATGGTTACGAGACGTACCAAAGGAATGTTTACAAGTCCTGGTCACAAAATCCGGGCAGCGTGCGGGTCTCATGTCATACTGAAGTCGTTTCGACAAGATATTTGCGAATTGAAACGGAACCTAGATACACAAATGAAACCAGGCACTGCCATAGCTTTGGTCTTACAATCCTTCGGATCTCTCTGAATGATAACTTGTTTGATTACCATCAAAGGCAAGATCTGATACAGATTCTCTCATATCGCGCTGCGATTTCTCTTGTAAACAGAACCACAAAAGCAAAACTTTTTGACAATCTATATTGTATTTTCATGGAATTCTTAGGTCTCCTGTAATCCTCTCTATTCTAAACAAGATCATATGTACACATCTGTCTCTGTGCACAACACTTGATGCCCAATCAATCGTCTATACATCCGAGGCTCTCTGGATATCCAGTCCCACTGGACAGGTTATAGGGACAATGGCCTGACGTTTGCAGTCCCTCAATCAGGCGAAATCTCAAATGAAAATTGCACCTCCGGTAACGTGCGAAAAAAGTCAACAAACCCGAGATTGAAATCGGCTGCAGTACTGCATGTTGTTATCAAGATTCACACAAAACACAGCGCACGCAACACATTTTTACAGCAACGCTGCCAAGGTGGTAACCTTGGTCCGATGCATCAGCCCATTTGTGTCGAGAGTTGATGTGTCCAACACAGAAGAGCCAGCCTAAACTGAAATAAAAACGCAAAAAGAAATCACGTGTAGCACTTTACCCTGCGGAAATTTGTACGCTCAAAAAGTTTCAATCGAGAGCGTTCGCGGAGATTGGATCCGAGCACTCTGTGCCACCTGGCTCCGCCACGTGAACAGCTCATGTCCACAAACCCAAAAATCTACCGCCCTCGGCCTCCTAAACCATCCAATCGTGGGCGAGACAAAGCTCCGCTATCCACCCCACCACAAGAGTGAAGTCGAATGCGAGAATACGCCAAACCTTGCAGTTTCTCATGTTCCGTGATTGGTCACATTTCATTTCATTTCATGTGAGATTTCATGCGCAACCGATATAGGACATAACTTCATGCGAATTTACATGCACAGCACTTATAGTCTTACTTACACTCAAAATCTCACGGTTCTTTATCTGTAAACTATAAATGTTTGGGAAAATGCTAATTAGTATTTTACCTACGAAATAGGCTCAGGTATTATTTATCTACATGTGTATCATACATGTGAAAAGGCATGGAACGAGTTTGGACATGGGATGAAGGAATAAAATGAGAATGCATAGCATTCATACATCTATGACTCAGTAATTCACATATTCGAATACACTTTGTTGTTAGCTTCGCCCACTATTACTTCCCTCGTGCTAAGCACATGCCGTCATCATTCCACATCGACCAAGACAGGTGCCAATCTCGCCCGTTAGCAGCACTCGGCCGCCATAGCTCCATTCTTTTTCCCTGCTCCACCTGAACACCTACACATAGCACCCAGGCAAGCCAAGAGACGGGCTGCGGTTAGACCTAAAAGGGAATAGATGATGACCGCTGATACTTGGGGTTCATTTAGAGATATTCGATGAAGTAATCGAGGCTGTATCCACGCACCTTGGGCATTAGCGATGGTGTAGTTTGATCGGACTAGAGCAGAGTACGATTGTAAGCCTGAGTTCAGCTTAGAGTCGCCGTCTTGGAGCACCGCGATTTCGCCGACGGTCACAGATAACGATACATGCGACGCCTTGAACTCCTGGACATCCAAGGATGCATGGTGGTCAACACCATTCCGAAATGGTTGAGAGCACGAGGAACAGGAATTTAGTGAACAGGCCTTACATTGAGCAGGTTGATTTTCTCCTTCCCCGTCGCGAGAGTCACGCTGTCAGCGCCAGGAGCCATGAGCGTCACGGCGTCAGGACCGAACAGAATAGACGAGGCCGACGCCACGTCATCAGCAGCAATAGCAGACACGGATCCTGTCCACGCGGCTTGAACCTTGGAAAACACGTCTAACTGCCGCGGTTCCTCACCTAGACCCTCATTTCCCTCCGCCGCTTGTGCTGCTGGTTGTTCTGCCGCCAGTTCTGCCGCTCTGGCGTTAGGAATGACGGAGGTATCCACAGAAATGGTAGCAGTTAACGGAACCCTTTTCGTTTGACGCTTTTCGTCGCGTGTTTGCCACATCAGCCAGCTGATGCCCCATACGGAGCAATCGTCATCCTCCACCCCTTCGATCTGATCCCAAAAGGCGATGAATTTTCCCCCGTTTGTGTCACTTTCGGTTTCTGAGCCTGACTCAGGGTCGGACGCAGAGGAGTGGACGGAGCCGAGGACGACCAGTGCGTGATTCGCGGGTGTGTAGAGGCTGTTGAGGAGGCGATACGAAGTGAGGGACTCGACAGCGAACGTCGCGCCGCGTAGGCGCGTCAGGGCGTGTTCCTTATCTCGGGGCGAGAAAAAAATCCGCTCGACCGCTCCTGGCGCCATGAAAACGCTTCGCGGCGAGAAGACTCGGCGACTGGACGCTCCGTGGAAGCTGGAGAGATCCCGTAACGCCGCGGCGACGCACTCTGCGGCGTCATTGCCGCCGCAATTGACGGCGGTGCCATTGGCGGCGGCTAAACCTCCAGCTGGAATGGCAGGCGCCGCAGAATCCGCAGAATCTGGGCTGGGCTGAGGCTGAGGCTGAAAGAACGCCGGCAGCCAGAGTCTCGCAGAGGAAACGGTGAAGCTGCTCGTTAGGATGAGCAGCAGCAGGGAAGCGAGAAAGAGCAATTTCGCCGCCATCGTCTCGAAAATCGGGAGTCAAACTTCCTGAATCGCACTCTACTAAGTGAGGCCATCGCTGCCAGTGGCTATTAAACCAGGCGATGGTCGGGTTGCTGGGCGCGTAGTCCTGCGGTTGCCAGCCACCGTGGGGAGACGGCTGGGCCAGTCACGCTCCACGAGGCGCCCAGGATTATCGAGAGGGCTGCTGGCCGCATTGGGGCGACGCGGCAGTCGCCGGCTTTCACTCATCCCGTCCAGATTGGAGGGAGTTCCTACTACAGTAGTCACTGTACCGTACAGGAGCAGTCCCTCGCTCCAGCCTGCCTACCATTCTGGCTTTGTGGTGGAACTTGGTTCTCGCGCATCCATGCTCTGCGGGGGAGTGGGAGGGGGAGAATGGGGGCGGAGGGGATAGGGGGATTTGTGTTTGAATGCGTCATGAATACACCTGTTCCAAGATTCAGGCACGCAAAATTTTTTAGCGGTGCGTGCCTGTATCCTCCGGCCAAAACACCGGGCAAAAAGGGCTTGTACACTTCGGGGGCGGGAGTAGCCGGACTGTAGTCATTAAATGCGAACGGCCTATGTGCGTCCGTCTAGGTAACCGGCGCGAGAAACTTCTGACCCACATTGGCTAATACTCTCGTGCAACCAATAGGATTTGTGCAATCCTATTTTGTTTATGAGATGAGGCGTTGTCCACCAAGACAACGATCTGCCTCTGTTCGGTGAACATGCAGGCGTTCACTGACTCGAGGAAAGAGGTGAAGATCTGTAGGCAGGACGGCTGGGGGAAGGAGGGAGGAGAGAACAATTGAACCACACATGAAAGTCTGATCAAGAATCATATAGACGGACATGCGTTTCGGAGAGCGCGCAAGGTAGTATCAGAAACTCACGCACATGCAAAATGAAACATCACTTACTTCGGAAGTCATCCAGCCCTTGGGATTTTGGCGCCAGTAGACGTACGGCTCTCAAGGTCGAAGCTGTTTGTGTTGAAGTCGGTCAGCCGGCGCACTTTGGAGACGACGAGAGGACGATGCATGCTGGATCCGACTGCGTTGCATAGAAAGGCCACCGCAATGCAGTCTTTTGCAGCCTTGCAACCGACGGGCGAACCATCCGATTAGGAACGACGAGGCGGCCGACCGGGGAAGAGGGCAGTCTCATCCCAATTGTAAAGATCACGTGGAACGGCGCCGATACGCTCAATGAGCTCCGGCATGCGCTGCCTATACAGCTCGACAGCTGTCTTTTCTGCGTCGAACGTCTCGCCCTTGCGTGCGAGGTTACGGAATCCCATGCGATGCATGGCGCGGTGACACCAGCTGATCAAGCATTCAAAAGTGTCTGGGACGCCACACTCAGGGCGCAAGTCCAAGGCCTTCTGTCAAATAATCGACAAAGTGAGAGGGATGCCAGCGTCTTCGGCTCCCTGCACCCAGGCCTTCTCTCCAAGTTAGAGAAACGACCCTTCCGCAGGCGGATGGCATTTTGTGCTGCAGCAGCGGCTTTCCATTTGTCCGCCTGGCGAACAATCCTCCCCACAGTGCTGCGGTCAGGAACAATCCCAAACCTCGTGAAACACCAACGGGCGAGATCCTCCAGGCGCCAAGATTGGTGGGTTTCCGCGTGTCGACAGATTTCTTGCTTCATGTCAAGCGAAATCTGGGCCCTTCTGTGCAGGCGAGGCAAGCGACGGGAGCGAGGGGCAAACATGTTGTCAGTTGGGCGAAAGCGGAAATGGATGGGGTAACAGTGTGTAAATGGAGGTTGTTCGGATAGACGTGGCTCATACCCACGCATTTGAAGTTCGTAGAGCACGCCGGTGAACTGCGCTCGCGAACGCTGACGTGTTCTTTGATTCATTCATTCAAATATAGGAATGTGTTCATGCTAGAAACTTCCGTGTCTACGTGGCGTGTTGTCAGCTCGTTGGCTGACGATAAGCCTTCTAGTGACTTCGCTAAGCTGTTGTTTTTCGCAAACGTAATCTACTGGACGAATCCTATTGGTTGCCGCGGAATCTATGCGCTATCTTGTACAGTACACTCTTGTGTGTCGTTTCATGTTGAACAGCGATAATGCACATACACTAGGGGATAAGAGCAAGGTGAATACGGCAATGGATCCTTAACCGTTATTGTACGACAAGCGCAGATGTCTGTAAGCGGGATCATGTGTATCGCCATTTCGAATTCTCCCCGCCAGTGTTCTCCGCCATTGGATTCCGCCGAATCACTGCGCTGCGTGGGACTGCCAGAACTGTACTGCTGTACTGTTATTGTCATGAATTATAACTCATAGTATAGTGCAGAATACTATAGGGGAACGTGATTACAGAATGTGCCAGAATAATGAGGCCTAGGCAATATATAGGGCGAGTTGACCAGGTTGAATGTCGATGGTTGGACCAGTCAAGGGCTGGTTAGTCCCGAGGGTGACGGGGTCAAAACGGGTTCGGGGCGACTCGGGAAGAGGTTTGGGCCGAAAAGGTCATCGGGGGCTGGTTTGGCGCGAGAACCAGGGGCCGAGCCTGCGGATGCGATAGGTTCGCGCGAGGCGGTGTAGACTGTCCTCTTGCGTGCTTCGAGATAACATCTCCACGTTTTGAAGGCGATGATGATAGCAAGGGCCTCCTTGTCGTGTATCGGGTAGTTGAGTTCTACCCCGTGTAATTTTTTGCTGCGGAAAGCGATTGGTTGCAGTCCATTCCCCTGGTCTTGCATCAAGACTGCTCCCGCTGCCTGGTCGCTGGCGTCAGCTTCGATGACGTAATCGCGTTCGGGGTCTGGCAAGATGAGTACGGGTGCGGACGAGAGTGCTTGCTTCAGCTACTCCACAGCTTCCTGGTGATGTGGCTTTTATTTAAAGGGTGTGTTCTTCTTCAGCAGATTCGTGAGTGGGGCAGCGTATTGTGGCACGAACCTGTTGTAGTAGTTAGCGTAGCCAAGAAACTGCTGTAACTTCTTCACATTCTCGAGTGTCTTCCACGTACGCACGGCTTCAATTTTCTTGGGGTCAACGTGAACTCCTTGAGCACTTACGATATGTCCAAGGAATTGGACTTTCTCTTGGATAGTTTGACGTAGAAGCGTTCTCGTCGAAGAATCTCTAAGACGCGTCGTAGGTGCTCGACGTGTTGTTGCATGTTGCGTGAGTAGACGAGAATGTCGTCCAGGTACACCACCACGCATTCGTCCACGAGTGGGCGTAGGATGTGATTCATCTCTGCTTGGAACGTTGCTGGTGCGTTGGTGAGTCCGAACGGCATTACCAGGTACTCGTACGATCCGTACCGAGTTCGGAAAGCAGTTTTGTGGACAGACTCATCCGCCATTCTTATCTGCCAGTATCCGGACCGCAGATATAGTTTTGAAAATACCGTGGATCCCCGAAGCTGGTCAAGCAGGTCATCGATTCGTGGAATCGGGTATTTGTTCTTTATGGTCTGCTTGTTGAGAGCCAGGTAGTCGACGCACATGCGCAGGCTTCCGTCTGGTTTCCGCATGAAGAGTACTGGGGCACCGTATGGCGAAGTGGATGGTCGGATGAGTCCTTTGGCGAGGAGATACTCGATCTGTTTCTTCATGTCGGCTAGTTCTGTGGGGCTTAGCCGATATGGTGCTCGGAAGGTCTGCTTCGAACCTGATTCCTCCACGATCTCGTGTTGGTGCGTTCGGTATGGCGGTCGCTCGTCCGGGAGGTCGTCAGGAAGAGTGTCTTGGAAGTCCTTCATTTTTTCTGGTGGTTCCGAGGCTTTCTCTCCGTCATTCTCCAGCTCTGTTGCTATCGCCAGGAACCCGGTGTCGGTTCGTTTCACGTCCTTCTCGAATCTGGCGAGTGTCTCCTCTGGGATATCTCCTGTATCGTCCCAGTTGGGTAGTTGGACTCTCTTTCCTTTGTTGTAGATGCTTGCGGTGCGGTTCACCCAGTTGATCTCGGGGTTGAATCGTTTGAGGAAGTCTCGCCCGAAGATCAAGTCAAGCACTTTTATGTTGGTGATGGGGAGAGCAGGTTTCCAGCGCAGTGGTCCAATTTGTAGGTGTATTAATGCTTTGCCGTACACTGGTAACTTGCTGTCGTCCACCATCATTGCAGAAAACGCTGATGGCTTGTACTCTTCTCGAAGTCGGTCGATGGTTGCCTTATCGCATACGGTGTGCGATGCTCCGCTGTCCACGAGTGCTTGGATGCGTCATCCTTTGCAGATGACCTCGAGCACGAGGGGCAGGCATTGCTCGGAGTACCCAAAGATAGTTTCATTGATTGGGTCATAGGGTACATCCCAATATTCATTGCTTCCTACTCCTGAGCTGGCAGCTGGCCGAGGCTGCTTGGAGAAAAAGGCTCTACTCCAGGGCCCGGAGTGTCTGTGACGACTGTTCGTGTCGTTGACGAAGTTGCCGAGTTGGATGCATTCGAAGAAGAAGGAATTCGGGGTTTTTGCAGCTTCTTGTAGACCCCCAGCTTCCTTTTGAGCTGCTTCAGCTCCACCGACGTCTTCCCTAGGGAACGGGTGATTGCTGTGGGCTGATGTCGGGAAAGGACGTTGACTCCGTGGAAAGGTCGGCTTCTTTCCACACTCCTTAATTTGGTCCCCAAGTTCTCCGGTACCAGTATGATCTCTACAATTTTGTGCTTCTTCTGTAGTCCCTCCCGAATTTTCTCCAAGGCTCTGGCCCCTCGAGAATTACAAGTTTTCATTAAAGCATCTTTGTAAGATAACTTTAACGAATCCTTATAATTTTTTGGGTCTTCAAGGAGTTTCCCCGTCTTGGCAGAGTCCTTTTTCGCGGAGTTAGATTTTTCCTAGGCGATTTCCTCTGGCGAAGACTGGTTGTGGGGTGAAGATTTTTCCCCATCATTTTTTCTTGTTCGCGTCGAATCAACTGCGTCGAAGTTGATTTTTCCGGAAGTCCGCGGCCGCTTTCGGATCTTTTCTTTTTCGCCAGCTAGATCCGCAATCACTGGTGACTCCCGTTTTTTTGCTTCTGATTGGCCGAAGGATTTCTGCCACTGTTGCGTGCCCGATACTCAGCGCGTGCGGCTTTCATTTTTTTGCAGTCGAAGATTCGATGATCCGGCACCTCGCAAAAATCACACGTGAAGTTGGTGTTTTTCGGACGTGGCCGCCCTTCTAACCTGTCGACTTCCATGGGGTCGGCGAACGTGGGGTGAGCCGAGCGGTCGCCCTGTCGCCTACTGCCGACGTGCGCCCGTCGTGTTCCGGCGTTGACCATGTCGAAGCGTTCCGCTGCCAAAACGACGTCACTGTAGCTCGTATAGTTTGTCGCTGCCACTTGTCGTTTGACTTCAGTCTTCAGCT